CGAGTGTCTCAGGATGGGATGATGAACGAATGTCTCAGAATGAGATAAAGAACGAATGTCTCAGGATGGGATGATGAACGAATGTCGCATGATGAGATGATGAATGAATGTTGCAGGATGAGATGATAAACGAATGTCGCAGTATGAGATGACGAAAAAAAATCGCAGTATGAGATGACGAACGAATATTGCATTATGAGATGACGAACGAATATCGCAGTATGAGATGACGATCGAATACCGCAGAATGGGATGATGAACGAATGTCGCAGGATGAGATGATGAACGAATGTCGCAGGATCAGACTATTAACGAATGTCGCAGGATGAGATGATGAACGAATGTCTCAGGATGAGATGATGAACGAATGTCGCAGTATGGGATGATGAACGAATGTCTCAGGATAAGATGATGAACGAATGTCGCAGGATGAGATGATGAACGAATGTCTCAGGATGAGATGATGAACGAATGTCGCAGTATGGGATGATGAACGAATGTCTCAGGATAAGATGATGAACCAATGTCTCAGGATGAGATGATGAACGAGCGTCGCAGTATGAGATGATGAACGAATGTCTCAGGATGAGATAATGAACGAATGTCGCAGGATGAGATGATGAAAAAATGTCGCAGTATGGGATGATGAACGAATGTCTCAGGATAAGATGATGAACGAATGTCTCTGGATGGGATGATCAACGAATGTCTCAGGATGAGTTGATGAACGAATGTCTTAAGATGGGATGTTGAACGAATATCTCAGGATGAGATGATGAAACGAATGTCGCAGAATGGGATGACGAACAAATATCGAAGTTTGAGATGACGAACAAATATCGCAGTATGAGATGACGAACGAATATCGCAGTATGAGATGACGAACGAATATCGCAGTATGAGATGACGAACGAATAACGCAGAATAGGATGATGAACGAATGTCGCAGGATGGGATGATGAACGAATGTCTCAGGATCAGATGATGAACGAATGTCGCAGGATGAGATGATGAACGAATGTCTCAGGATTAGATGATGAACGAATGTCGCAGGATGAGATGATGAACGAATGTTGCAGGATGAGATGATGAACGAAGGTCTCAGGATGAGATTATGAACGAATGTCGCAATATGGGATGATGAACGAATGTTTCAGGATGAGTTGATGAACGAATGTCTTAAGATGGGATGTTGAACGAATATCTCAGGATGAGATGATGAACGAATGTCGCAGAATGGGATGACGAACAAATATCGAAGTTTGAGATGACGAACAAATATCGCAGTATGAGATGACGAACGAATATCGCAGTATGAGATGACGAACGAATATCGCAGTATGAGATGACGAACGAATAACGCAGAATAGGATGATGAACGAATGTCGCAGGATGAGATGATCAACGAATGTCGCAGGATGAGATGATGAACGAATGTCTCAGGATGAGATGATGAACGAACGTCTAAGGATGAGATGATGAACGAATGTTGCAGTATGAGATGATGAACGAATGTCTCAGGATGAGACTATGAACGAATGTCGCAGGATGAGATGATGAACTAATGTCTCAGGATGAGATGCTGAACGAATGTCGCAGTATGAGATGATGAACGAATGTCTCAGAATGAGGTGATGAACGAATGTCGCAGGATGAGATGATGAACGAATGTCTCAGGATGAGATGATGAACGAATGTCTCAAGATGAGATGATGAACGAATGTCGCAGGATGAGATGATGAACGAATGTCTCAGGATGAGATGATGAACTAATGTCTAAGGATGAGATGATGAACGAATGTCGCAGTATGAGATGATGAACGAATGTCTCAGAATGAGGTGATGAACGAATGTTGCAGGATGAGATGATGAACGAATGTCTCAGGATGAGATGATGAACGAATGTCTCAAGATGTGATGATAAACGAATGTCTCAGGGTGAGATAATGAACGAGTGTCTCAGGATGGGATGATGAACGAATGTCTCAGGATGAGGTAAAGAACGAATGTCGCAGGATGAGATGATGAACGAATGTCTCAGGATGAGATGATGAACGAATGTCGCAGTATGGGATGATGAACGAATGTCTCAGGATAAGATGATGAACGAATGTCTCAGGATGAGATGATGAACGAATGTGTCAAGATGTGATGATGAACGAATGTCTCAGGGTGAGATAGTGAACGAGTGTCTCAGGATGGGATGATGAACGAATGTCTCAGGATTAGATGATGAACGAATGTCGCAGGATGAGATGATGAACGAATGTCTCAGGATGAGATGATGAATGAATGTTGCAGGATGAGATGATAAACGAATGTCGCAGTATGAGATGACGAAAAAAAATCGCAGTATGAGATGACGAACGAATATTGCATTATGAGATGACGAACGAATATCGCAGTATGAGATGACGATCGAATACCGCAGAATGGGATGATGAACGAATGTCGCAGGATGAGATGATGAACGAATGTCGCAGGATCAGACTATTAACGAATGTCGCAGGATGAGATGATGAACGAATGTCTCAGGATTAGATGATGAACGAATGTCGCAGGATGAGATGATGAACGAATGTCTCAGGATGAGGTGATGAACGAATGTCGCAGTATGGGATGATGAACGAATGTCTCAGGATAAGATGATGAACCAATGTCTCAGGATGAGATGATGAACGAGCGTCGCAGTATGAGATGATGAACGAATGTCTCAGGATGAGATAATGAACGAATGTCGCAGGATGAGATGATGAAAAAATGTCGCAGTATGGGATGATGAACGAATGTCTCAGGATAAGATGATGAACGAATGTCTCTGGATGGGATGATCAACGAATGTCTCAGGATGAGTTGATGAACGAATGTCTTAAGATGGGATGTTGAACGAATATCTCAGGATGAGATGATGAACGAATGTCGCAGAATGGGATGACGAACAAATATCGAAGTTTGAGATGACGAACAAATATCGCAGTATGAGATGACGAACGAATATCGCAGTATGAGATGACGAACGAATATCGCAGTATGAGATGAGGAACGAATAACGCAGAATAGGATGATGAACGAATGTCGCAGGATGAGATGATGAACGAATGTCTCAGGATCAGATGATGAACGAATGTCGCAGGATGAGATGATGAACGAATGTCTCAGGATTAGATGATGAACGAATGTCGCAGGATGAGATGATGAACGAATGTTGCAGGATGAGATGATGAACGAAGGTCTCAGGATGAGATTATGAACGAATGTCGCAATATGGGATGATGAACGAATGTCTCAGGATAAGATGATGAACGAATGTCTCAGGATGAGGTGATGAACGAACGTCGCAGTATGAGATGATGAACGAATGTCTCAGGATGAGATACTGAACGAATGTCCCAGGATAAGATGATGAACAAATGTCGCAGTATGAGATGATGAACGAATGTCTCAGGATGAGATGATGAACGAATGTCTCTGGATGGGATGACGAACGAATGTCACAGGATGAGATAATGAACGAATGTCGCAGGATCAGGCTATGATCGTGGTGTACTGCCACGTGTACTAATCGAGGCGGACGTGTATTTTGGAGCTCTGTTGTTTCTCAAGTTCTGTTGAGTTAAAATGAATTCCTCAACTGTTTTAAATGTGTTATACAGTTATTTCAACATTAAGAAAAGTAAACTTATTTGGACGGGATCTCTTGAAACCCTGAAAGCGCTTGTACTAACCGAAATTGACGAGGAGACTGCCGAAGCAACAACATGGCGTTCCCCCAGTGGCGGTAAATGGTTATTTGAAAGTAAGCTGTTATCGGTTACTTGGCTAACAAAAAGCCAAAATATAAACTTTGGTGGTGAGAAAGGTAGTGACATAACGGCAAGAATACATTCGCTTTTAAATCAAGATCTGGACAGTGCTTCTGAAATCGATAGGCATGCCGAACTACATCTAAATCAATCAATTGAAAATTTGCTAGCTGTCGAACCTGACGATGTCAATGATGATGCACTTGAACATTCGTTTAGTTATCAACCTGATGTTGAAAGAAATTGGAATACCAAGACGAAAATCAAGCGAAAATAGATTCTGAAATCGGTGTAAAGTATGATGAGTTGAATGCGAAGTCAAAAAATTTGCATGAAGGCCCAATCGGTATGCACGCAAACTTAACAAATTGGCATAATCCCTTGGGAAGCAACTCCAGCTATAACTGCGACTCCGAGTCAATAGCAAGATTGAATTCGAAACTTGAAAGATTTTCCGAAAATGTGGCAAACAAACTACAGGATATTACAGTTGAGATAAACAATATTAAAGAAAGTAAACCCTACTCGATTCTGGTTTTGGAAAACGTAGTTAATGACCTAAAGAAAGACAAACTTGAGCTAATCAGAATGAATGATGATCTTAGGGCACAAAATATGAACATGTCCTGTTCTATATCTTTGAAAAAATGGCAAATAAAAATTTGGAAAACGAAAAGAGCAGCCTTTTGACTGCTCTTAAGTTATTTCAAAATGACTCTCAACATACGTCCATGACTAACACTGTGATTTCAAAAGACGGAGAAATTAACATTGAACCGGCCTGTGAAATCATACATAATAATGAAGTCACTCAACTGAATCATGAATCTGATCAGCCTGTAATCTACAGGGTGTCCCAAAAAAAACGAAAACTATTGAAATCACTCATAACAATGTAATTGTTAGAGTTTGAATGCCTAAGCACTCTGTTGGGACCCACAAGTGTGTAAATGTTTGCCATAAGCATTTTTATGCATGCATATGATGCAGTAAAATTTGCTCGTACGCGAAAATGATATTTATTAACAATATTTAAATGTGCATCTCAATCACCATGACCTTCGACATGTCCCCTTTCTCTAGCAACACAAAGCATTTAGCATTTTACTGAGTTGCATTACATCCCCATGGGCTAAAATTCGTGCACACGGCATTCAAATTTTAACAATGAGTGATTTCAATAGTTTTCGTTTTTTTTGGGACACCCTGTATAGTCAGCCCAACGCCAAAGAAAGTCTTACAAAAAAGAGTAAAAAGAAGAGTAAGAAAACCAAGTCTAAACCATCAGCTCATAATACCAGTCAACTAAATGCTCCGGATGCAAATACCTCTGGCTCTGGCGGGATTTCAAATACCTCAAAACCAGTTGTTATTGCAGGAGACTCAATTGTTAAAAATATTATCGGTCCGAAGATGAATGCTGAAGATCCTAATCATTATTTTATTGTAAAGCCGTTCCCTGGAGCAACAGTCACCGACATGGAGGACTTTGTCAAGCCACTTACAAGAAGAACACCGGACAAGATGATTTTACATGTTGGAACAAACGATCTGAGAAGTCATTGCACGCCAAAAGTAATAGCTGACTCTATCGTCAACATTGTAACGCAAGTAAAAGAAGATTCACCAGGTACAGATGTTGGAATATCAGCCATTCTGGTAAGGTCTGATAATCATGACTTAACTGTTAAAGCTACTCAGGTTAATAACATTCTTAAAGGCTATTGTATTCGCAATAAAATTCCCTTCTTAAGTAATTCAAATATGAATGAAAGCCACCTAAACACGAAGGGCCTTCATTTAAATAGACAAGGTAGCTTAGCTTTACAACAAAACTTTTTAGATTTTGCTAAATCTATCTCAGATTGACAATTTCCCAAATCCGTTATTCCTACCTCACGCGGGTTTAAGTTAGCAGCCCTTAATGTGAGAAGCATAGTAAATCACATTGATGAGCTGCGAGTTTTGCTTGCTACTAGCCCAATCGATGTTCTAGCAATTAACGAGACATGGCTTAATTCTACAATAAGCGATAACGATGTTTACATACCTGGATATGAAATTATACGTCGGGACAGAGCATGTAGTAGTGCCGATGGAAAAACGTATGGAGGTGTTTGCTTTTATGTGCGCTCCTGCGTAAATTTTATACTTCGCAAGACCTGTTTATCGATGACTTGGAAAATTTATGTATTCAAATTCAAAAACCAAATTCTAAGCCCTTTCTCGTTACAACATGGTATAGACCACCTAATTCGAATACTGATAAATTTAATCATTTCGAAACGTTTATTGATATACTTGACGCAGAAAATGTCGAGTATTACCTATTGGGCGACCTAAATTGTGACCTTGGATCGCCTACTTTAGATTGCAATTCGAGATCTTTAATTGGCATCACTGAACTCTATGGTTTACATCAATTAATAAATGAACCAACTCGAATTACCGAAACTTCATCAACTATGATCGATCATATTTTTACCAATACACCAGATAATATTGTTTCCTCTGGTGTTTCTCATGTCGGTATCAGTGATCATAGCTTAATTTACGCATTCCGTAAGCTTTCTATCAGTCCACGCAACAAAGGCCATTCTACAATAAGTTATAGAAAACTTAAAAATTTCAATTTTGAATATTTTCGACGAGATATTTCTTTACAGAATTGGGATTTATAATAATCCGAATGATATGTGGCGTATATGGAAAACGACCTTTAACAACGTAGTGGAAAAGCATGCCCCATTACGAACTAGGGTACTAGGCGAGTAAGATCTTCTAAGGCGCCGTGGATCACGCCTGAATTAAAAAGGCAAATGCATGAAAGAGATGTTTTGAAAATAAAAGCTATTCGATCCAAAGATATTTGTGATTGGACTGTTTTTAAGAAAGCTCGAAATTCTGTAAACAATGAAATTAAACTTGTTAAGAAAACCTATTATATGAACGCTTTTCATGAAAACGAGAATAATGTTAAAAAAACTTGGGGTATCATCAATGAATTGACCTCAAGAAAACAGATGAGTTCACGAGTAAATGAAATCAAAATAAACGGGGTTTCTATTACTGACCCCTCGGACCTATCTGAGACGTTTAATACTCATTTTGCTACTATTGGACCTAAGCTTAAGGAAAAAATACCTGACGAAGAAAACAATCGCTCGTATTTACAATATCTTACTTGCCACAATAGTAACAATAATATAGAGTTTAAGTCAATAACCCCATCATCAGTTTATTCGCTTCTTAACAAACTTTGTAAGTCCAAAGCAATTGGGCTAGACAAAATATCTGCCAAGCTTCTTCGTCATTGTCCTGACTTGCTTTCGGAATCCCTTGCCGTAATTTTTAACTGCTCTATCATTACCGGTATCTTTCCTGAAGAATGGAAATGCTCAAAAGTCATTCCATTATTCAAACAGGGCGAGCGTAGAGACTTAAATAATTATCGCCCAATTTCGATAATACCGGTTGTGGCGAAAGTTTTCGAACGAATTATTTATGATCAAATTTACGGTTTTCTTACTGAGAACAATTTACTATGTAATAGCCAGTCTGGATTTCGACGTTTGCATTCAACTGTTACTGCACTTCTAGAATCTACTAATAGCTGGGCCTACAATATTGACCAAGGACTGGTCAATGCTGTCGTTTTCCTAGATCTTAAGAAAGCCTTTGATACAGTTGACCATGGAATTTTGTTGTCAAAACTGTCAGCATATGGTCTTGGGGGTGCTGTGGCTAACTGGTTTAGGTCTTATTTAAGTAACCGCAGTCAAAAATGTTATGTCAATGGCCATCTTTCTACCAACCGTACGTTACTTTGTGGTATCCACAGGGAACTATTTTGGGACCATTGCTATTTTTATTGTATATAAATGACTTGCCAAATTGTCTTGAGCACTCCCAAGCACAAATGTATGCAGACGACACCAATTTAACATTTGCAAGCAATAAAATTGAAGATATAGATTATTACTTTAATCAAGATCTTGAAAATGTTAATAAATGGCTTATCGCCAATAGGCTTACATTGAATCAATCCAAAACTGAATTTATGCTAATTGGCTCACGACAAAGAATAGCTACTTTCCAATCAGATCCATGTTTTAAAATAGACGGAATTCCTATAGACAAGGTTTCACATACAAAATCTCTAGGAGTTCACCTTGATGAAAATCTATCTTGGAATATACAGATCAAGGAATTAACAAAAAAAATTGCTTCTGGTATTGGCGCTTTAAAACTCGTTCGTTCATTTGTCCCAGTTGCAACATTGTATTTAATTTTTAATTCCCTTGTCCAGCCATATTTCAATTATTGCTGTACAGTTTGGGACAATTGCAATAAAACCTTGGCAGATAAACTTCAAAAACTACAAAATCGCGCAGCGAGAGTTTTGACCTTTTCAAGCTATGACACTAATGCCGATATCTTACTCGATAGACTTGGCTGGAAAAAGTTATCTTCCCAACGCCAGTTTCTAAAGGCTGTCATGGTTTATAAATCACTCAATGGACTTGCTCCACAATACATGGGTTCCATGTTTGTAAACCGTGACAGTGTCAATCCTTATTCGTTGAGAAACACAAATAGTAAGCTGGCTGTTCCTAAGCCTCGCACAAACTATCTCAAGAATAGTTTTAGTTATAGTGGTGCGATGCTATGGAACAGCCTACCGATTGGGCTACGGCTAGCAAATAACCTATTAAATTTTAAAGCGGGCTGTTCCAAATTATTTTAATCTACATTCACATTTGTATTATATTATATTTCTTGTATATATTCCTTACACGGCTCTCATGAAAAGCAGGTATATTAATTATTAGTTTGATTTATCATTGTAAATATTTTTGTAGTCTTATTTTGTAATTCATAATCTTGTCATTTGTCAGCATGAAAATCCTGATTGAGAATACCGTGTGTAAATAAAGTTTAATAATAATAATAAATAAATAAAGTTTAATAATGAACAAATGTCGCAGGATGAGATGATGAACGAATGTCTCAGAATGAGATGATGAACGAATGTCGCAGTATGAGATGATGAACAAATGTCTCAGGATGGGATGATTAACGAATGTCTCAGGATGAGATAAAGAACGAATGTCTCAGGATGGGATGATGAACGAATGTCGCATGATGAGATGATGAATGAATGTTGCAGGATGAGATGATGAACGAATGTCGCAGTATGAGATGACGAACAAAAATCGCAGTATGAGATGACGAACGAATATTGCAGTATGAGATGACGAACGAATATCGCAGTATGAGATGACGATCAAATACCGCAGAATGGGATGATGAACGAATGTCGCAGGTTGAGGTGATGAACGAATGTCTCAGGATGAGATGATGAACGAATGTCGCAGGATGAGATGATGAACGAATGTCGCAGGATGACATGATGAACGAATGTCTCAGGATGAGATGATGAACGAGTGTTGCAGTATGGGATGATGAACGAATGTCTCAGGATGAGATGATGAACGAATGTCGCAGGATGAGATGATTAACGAATGTCGCAGTATGAGATGACGAACGAGTATCGAAGAATTGGATGATGAACGAATGTCGCAGGATGAGATGATGAACGAATGTCGCAGGATCAGAACGAACTTCAGAAGAAGAGGGAGGAAGAAGAGAAGTTGAGAAAAATCAAAGAACAGATGGAACTGAAAAAAAAAAGGCGAGAAGAGGAGGAAAGGAGAAGAAAACAACTTGAAGAAGAAGCAAGAATGTAAGTTTAAAATGATTAAGTTTTACATTCAACGATATCATATCCTTTTTCCTGCTAAACTCACACCAGATGATGCAAAATGGCGGAAATAGATTTTGACTATTTGTCAAACTAAACAAAAATCAAATTCTGGGTTAAAACAACATTAATATCACTTGAATTATAGGTCACATTTATTGCAGTTCTTATAACTAAACATGTTCGCGAAATTTCGGCTATTTTCATAAAGAACAACAAAAGATATGATGGATTAAATACTGCAGAATGGTTTCTATTTTGAAAACCCTGCTGAGCACTGATTGGCTGAAATATGAACGCTGGCTGTGTACGATATTTAAATGTTTACATTTTTTTTCTGTGTGTTTTAGTAAAGCTGAAATGGAAGCCGAAAGGCGAAGGGCAGAAGAGGAAGAAATGAAACGGAGGGAACTTGAAAAAGCGAAACAGGTTTTGAGCATAATTACAATGAATAAATGTAATTATTTTCAAAGCTTTTTATGTATTAATGTCGTACCATACTTGATCACCTCTGGCAATATTTTTACCGTGAATCTTTTCTGGGTTTTTTAGAAAGAAATCGAGGAACAATTAAGGAAAGAGGAAGAAGAGGCAAAATCTCGGTATGAACGTATTTTTGCTACCATAAACATCTCTGCGAGGTTTTCCAAAAAAATTCCCGAGTCCTTTTTATAGACTCACACGTAATGCTTTAAATCTGATATTTTTTTCAATGTAAAATTTAATCATTTCCGACAAGCTGCTCTTGAACAAGAGAGATTAGATCACGAACTGGCCTTGCGTTTGGCAAAGGTATTATATCTCAATATTTTTTCAATTTCTTTGGCGATTAATACTACTAAATGCTTTCGTTTAACTGTTCAACTGTGTGGAAGTTTATGTTCATTTTCTGCTAGACAGAATTAGGCCTATACTAATTTGTTCTCATTTTAGGAATCCAACTCGAATGTAGAACCCATGGAGGAACAAAAAGCTATTATAAGGTAAATATTTTATAATATTGTATAGCTCTATCAGTTCTAAACTGTTCTTCCTAGAGGTCCAGTAAGGATCATCCCCTTTTGATCCAGTGTTACTACAGGAGGAAACCTAAATTAAACTAACTTTATTTATTTGTACTGGATAGCTCTATCAGTTCTAAACTGTTCTTCCTTGAGGTCCAGTAAGGATCATCTCTTTTTATTGATCCAGTGTTACTACAGGAGGAAACCTAAACTAAACTAACTTTATTTATTTATACTGAGTAGCTCTATCAGTTCTAAACTGTTCTTCCTAGAGGTCCAGTAAGGATCATCTCTTATTGATCCAGCGTTACTACATGCAGGAGAAAACCTAAACATACTTTATTCTGATCAGCTATCACAAACAAGATACTAAAAAATGAACTTTTTTTCCAACAGAGCGGCTTCCTTGAAAGATCCGAATAAGAAATATGACCTGAGTAAATGGAAATACGCTGAGTTAAGAGACACCATCAACACCTCGTGCGGTATGTGTTGTTGTCATTACTTGGTTCCTGTGGAAAGTTTAGTTTTGAATACAAAATATGGACTTCTGTTTTTGTTTTTCTAGATGTCGAGTTATTAGAAGCTTGTAAACAAGAGTTCCATCGCCGTCTTAAGGTTTATCATCAGTGGAAAAATAAAAATAAGGCATCGAAGTCGACGGGTCAAAGTGCTGGTGATCAAAGAGCACCTCAAGAGGTCGTGGAAGAAGGTTGGGAAATAGTTAATACCAACATTACATGCTTATATTTTAACAAGTTCATTTATCAGTTCTGAACTCTTGTTACTACAGGAGGAAACCTAAACTAAACTAACTTCATTTATACTGGATAGCCCAATCAGTTCTAAACTGTTCCTCCTAGAGTTCCAGTAAGGATCATCTCTTATTGATCCAGTGTTACAACAGGAGGAAACCTAGACTAAACTAACTTTATTTATACTGGATAGCTCTATCAGTTCTAAACTGTTCTTCCTAGAGGTCCAGTAAGGATCATCTCTAACTAAATTAACTTTTTTCATACTGGATATAGCTCTGTATCAGTTCTCAAACGTTTAATTTCTCGTTTTAGCTGCAAGTCACGCAAGCGTTAGTAAGCCAACTTCCAGACTTCCCCCGCGTCGACCACAGCGATATTTCCGCGTTCCCTTTGTGAAGCCCGGTGACGAGTATCGTGACAACGACTTCAAGAAGCGCGGGTACTGGTTCGCCCATTTTGACGGGCAATGGATAGCCCGCCAGCTGGAGATACACCCGAACGGAGTGAACGTTGTCCTGGTCGCGGGCACAGATGATCTTGATATGTGTGAGCTGAGTCTGGATGAAACAGGTCTGACTCGCAAACGTGGCGCTGAAATAACAAAACGTGAATTTGAATTTAGTTGGCAGAAATGTGGCAGCAAATCAGACGCTTATAAACAACCGACTTTTGAATGAAATCACTTCACCTAGGATTTTTTTTGAGATCTCACCAAAATAGAACTTCATTTCTTTCCTAAATCTAATTTGGAGGAGATAGACTGAAAAGAGCCTCACATAATATCTTCGCAAATCAATTTCCACAATAGAACACTGTTCGACAGTTTTGGAGCATGTTTTTACAATGATCTCGCAATATTATTGAACTTCAATCTTTTCTCATATGCATTGCACCTATGAGCATGCACTGCTGGTGAACTGCTCCAACACTTAATGGTCACTATAGATAACGTTTTCCAACACTAGATCAAATTCGTAGATAGTCATTTTTAATCTATACGTTTATTTATTTCACTTTGTAATATTTATATACATAAAAATACTATGATGACTATTATGCAGTTAGGATAATTTTTTTTCAATCGTCGTATTTTTCAATTTTGTGTTGTCTGTCTTTATTTGCCGGTTTCTTAGCATAATTTGGTAAAGTGTGCTTGCATTGGGCGAACTGGAATGTGTCTGTAATATGTGTGTCTTTACTCTTACATTTATCTCCAGCTTTATTGACATAATTGTTGTATTATTTGTTTTCAATATGAAATACTCTGCGTACAAGGTTATGAAAAGTTTCGAGCTCTGATTCGGCCTGCAATGGCCAATGATGATCATTTTTTACGATAGCGTTAAAGAAGGTACCGAGAGCGAAGGTAAGATAGCGTTAAAGAAGGTACCGAGAAAAAAGTTGTTATACAGGGTTTATCAAAAAAAACGCAATCATATTCTAGCGGCACAATCGTCGGTAAACAAAGTCGGGTGCGTAAACCAACGAGCTGAATTGAAATTATTTAACGAGTAAAATGTTATTTACAATTTATTTGACAAGGTCGACAGTTAGCATTCAAGTTATCATGCACGACAATAAAAACTCGTTCGGTTGTTAGCTGCACCATTATTAGTTTAGCTGATTTGACTATTAGCAGTTGAACTGTTCGATTAGAAGCCATTTTAAAATCCCAAGGGCGTAAAATCTATTGAGCTTATGAACAATATGAATTTTAGAAAATAGTGGTTGCGTTTTTTTTTGAGACACCCTGTAGTTTTAGTTGTATTAACGCGAAAAGAGAAGGCTTTTTTAAATCAAACTAAGAGTTGTATCCATTAATCGCTTCACGGAGCGGAATTTTGCTAATCACTTACAACGGACAATAGAAATATGCAAAACATTTTCATTTGGCTAATTTATATCCATTCCGGACAAGTCTGGCATGAGTTAGTTGATTATCTATTGTTGTCAATGCTAAAATTGTCCGTTGGAATTTTCTTTGTCGTTGAAGTAATAAAAGGCGGTTGAATCTAGACGAAACTCAGTGTTTGCAGTCTCGAAAAGGAAGCATCAGTCGAAGAAGTTCAGGAAAAGTTGGAAGAGTCTTGCTTACTAAGGTACATGGTGATAGTTGGTTTGAACATCTTTTGGCTTGATCTCTGGCTTTGCAAACAAATTTACTGATCGCTGTGTTGATTTGAATAGCGTGGGAAGACGTGAGCGAATGGAGTCATATTCTTGCCGATTTTTACTGCTTTATCTTGTATATTTCGATTGAAAATGTCCAATGCAAGTGAGCTGTTACTTTAATTTAGTTTTTCCTTGCTTATTTGATTACAGAACGAACTACGGCGCCGAAAGATGGGAAAGGAGAAACGAAAAGGCTTGCTCGCAGCGAATAATAGGTATTGTTCTATTAGTATATGTGTATTTTGCATTTGTGACTTGAAAAAACACGTTTGTACTTTGTTTACGGACAGTCGGGGTGGACGAAACTAGAATAGTTTTGATATATAGAAATGAATTCGAACTTTATGACTGAAACTAACTTTCCAGGCTGGCCTATTCGTTTTTCGGACAGGGTTGCCCAAAGGGAATGCTCGTTTTGAAAGGGAAAGACGGATTAAAACTCAATGCCTATATAATTATTTGTATTGGTATATGATTGTATTATGCTAGACTTCCCTGTCCTTTCGTTTTACCGAAGTTCTGTTTTTGTAGAACGAAAGAATCGTAAAGAGATGTCGGACATGCCTTGGGACATTAATGCACGCAAATACAAAACTCGATTTCGACAATATGCATGAGTAAAAATTGCATGGAATTTGGCTTTTTTGACTAAGATATAAACTGAAGACTCCTCTGTTTACCTCCTTCATTTTCACGTTTTTCGCCTCTGCATGATTTTTGCATGAAGTCTGGTCGTATCAAGCACATGCGGAGTGAATAAAAATGATTCTGGGGCCCCAATCACTTGTGTTTTCTCCATTTTGACGACTATATAGTCCGGACAAAAATATCGCTCAGAGAGCGCTTAAAACATAAAAACATGACATATGTATTTCTAGAAGGAGATGATAGTCCAGTGTTCTTGCTCTCTTGTACAAAAACGTGCATGACATTTTGTATTAAAACGTGCATGACATTTTGTATTAAAACGTTCATGAAATTTTGTATTAAAACGTGCATGACATTTTGTACCAAAACGTGCATGACATTTTGTATTAAAACGTGCATGACATTTTGTATTAAAACGTGCATGACATTTTGTATTAAAACGTTCATGAAATTTTGTATTAAAACGTGCATGACATTTTGTACCAAAACGTGCATGACATTTTGTATTAAAACGTGCATGACATTTTGTATTAAAACGTGCATGACATTTTGTATTAAAACGTGCATAACATTTTGTATTGAAACGTAAATGACATTTTTTATTAAAACGTGCATGACATTTTGTATTAGAACGTGCATGATATTTTGTAGTAAAACGTGCATGACATTTTGTATTAAAACGTGCATGACATTTTGTATTAAAACGTGCATGACATTTTGTATTAAAACGTGCATGACATTTTGTACCAAAACGTGCATGACATTTTGTATTAAAACGTGCATGACATTTTGTACCAAAACGCGCATAACATTTTGTATTAAAACGTGCATGACAATTTGTATTAAAACGTGCATAACATTTTGTATTAAAACGTGTATAACATTTTGTATTAAAACGTGCATAAAATTTTGTATTAAAACGTGCATGACATTTTGTATTAAAACGTGCATGACATTTTGTATTAAAACGTGCATGATATTTTGTACCAAAACGTGCATGACATTTTGTATTAAAACTTGCATGACATTTTGTATTAAAACGTGCATAACATTTTGTATTAAAACGTGCATGACATTTTGTATTAAAACGTGCATGACATTTTGTAATCAAACGTGCATGACATTTTGTACCAAAACGTGCATGACATTTTGTATTAAAACTTGCATGACATTTTGTATTAAATCTTGCATGACATTTTGTATTCAAACGTGCACGACATTTTGTATTAAATCTTGCATGACATTTTGTATTAAAACGCGAAAAACATTTTGTATTAAAACGTGCACGACATTTTGTATTAAATCTTGCATGACATTTTGTATTAAAACGCGCATAACATTTTGTAATAAACGTGCATGACATTTTGTATTAAAACGCGCATAACATTTTGTATTAAAACGTGCACGACATTTTGTATTAAAACGTGCATGACATTTTGTAATCAAACGTGCATGACATTTAGTAATAAACGTGCATGACATTTTGTATTAAAACGCGCATAACATTTTGTATTAAAACGTGCACGATATTTTGTATTAAATCTTGCATGACATTTTGTATTAAAACGCGCATAACATTTTGTATTAAAACGTGCATGTATTTTGTAATAAAACGTGCAAGACATTTTGTATCAAAACGTGCATGACATTTTGTATTAAAACTTGCATGACATTTTGTACCAAAACGTGCATGACATTTTGTATTGAAACTTGCATGAAATTTTGTACCAAAACGCGCATAACATTTTGTATTAAAACGTGCATGACATTTGTTGAATAAACGTGCATGACATTTTGTATTAAAACGTGCATGACATTTTGTATTAAAACGTGCATGACATTTTGTACCAAAACGTGCATACATTTGTATGAAAATGTGCATGACATTTTGTATTAAAACGTGCATGACATTTTGTATTAAAACGTGCATGACATTTTGTATTAAAACGTGCATGACATTTTGTATTAAAACGTGCATGACATTTTGTATTAAAACGTGCATAAAATTTTGTATTAAAACGTGCATGACATTTTGTATTAAAACGTGCATGACATTTTGTATTAAAACGTGCATGATATTTTGTACCAAAACGTGCATGACATTTTGTATTAAAACTTGCATGTCATTTTGTATTAAAACGCGCATAACATTTTGTATTAAAACGTGCATGAACTTTTGTATTAAAACGTGCATGACATTTTGTATTCAAACGTGCATGACATTTTGTACCAAAACGTGCATGACATTTTGTATAAACGTGCATGACATTTTGTATTAAAACGCGCATAACATTTTGTATTAAAACGTGCACGACATTTTGTATTAAACGTGCATGACATTTTGTATTAAAACGCATAACATTTTGTATAAAAACGTGCACGACATTTTGTATTAAATCTTGCATGACATTTTGTATTAAAACGTGCATGACATTTTGTAATCAAACGTGCATGACATTTTGTAATAAACGTGCATGACATTTTGTATTAAAACGCGCATAACATTTTGTATTAAAACGTGCACGACATTTTGTATTAAAACTTGCATGACATTTTGTATTAAAACGCGCATAACATTTTGTATTAAAACGTGCATGACATTTTGTAATAAAACGTGCATGACATTTTGTATTAAAACGTGCATGACATTTTGTATTAAAACGTGCATGACATTTTGTACCAAAACGTGCATGACATTTTGTATTAAACTTGCATGACATTTTGTACCAAAACGCGCATAACATTTTGTATTAAAACGTGCATGACATTTTGTATTCAAACGTGCATGACATTTTGTATTAAAACGTGCATAACATTTTGTATTAAAACGTGCATGACATTTTGTATTAAAACGTGCATGACATTTTGTATTAAATCTTGCATGACATTTTGTATTAAAACGCGCGTATAATTTTGTATTAAAACGTGCATGACATTTTGTAAAAACGTGCATGACATTTTGTATTAAAACGTGCAACATTTTGTATTAAAACGTGCACGACATTTTGTATTAAACGTGCATGACATTTTGTATTAAAACGCGCAACATTTTGTATTAAAACGTGCATGACATTTTGTAATAAAACGTGCATGACATTTTGTATTAAAACGTGCATGACATTTTGTATTAAAACTTGCATGACATTTTGTAAAAACGTGCAGACATTTTGTATTGAAACTTGCATGACATTTTGTAAAAACGCGCATAACATTTTGTATTAAAAC